GATAAAAGTAGAGAAGAGGTCACTGACTAGGATAAGAAAAGAACTCTTGATACTTAAATGACCAAAGGAAAAAAAAATGAGAAGTCAATTCACATTCAGAATCACGAAAATCCTTAAGAATTGAAGAGTGGGGACATAGCCAGTGATGCTTAGCATGCTCAAGGCCTTAGGTTTGATCCCCATATATGAAAATAAAAAAAAAATAAAACAATTGGAGGCTGAGGCTCAACAGGGCTAAAAACAAATTATTTGGAGTGGGTTAGGAGGAGGTCCTTTCTACAAGACACTCCTAGCTGTGTATCTATGCCTCTCCAATCCCAGCAGAGGTTTCCCCTCTGCATAAGTAGAACCAGGGAGGCTCAGAACTGGGACACCAGACACTGTGGGTGTCAGAATGAAGAGTCATGCTACATGAAAACAAATCATAAGAAAGTCTGCATAGAGAACTAGGAGGCCCACAGCCCGTTTGATCATCTCAGAATAATGGCAGTTAGGCTTATATGACATAAAAATACACTGGTAAATCTATTTGTGGAAAACCCCTCAGTGAAGAGGGAAGAAAAATCAGGAGATGCTGACATTTAAGAGTACTAGTAAATGACTGGGCCTTCAATAAAATTCCCTCTTCTGAACCCTACCAATTTACAAGTCACCCAACCACACAAAGCTCCCAACTTTTTATAATGTGAATTAAGAGCCAACAATTCTCTTCGACTAGCATGATATAGATCCACCAAAAATCTCAACAGGCAAGGCAAAGACCAAAACAAGGAACTCAAAGTAAAAAATAATTTAGATGGTATAAAATTTTTTTTTCAAAATTTCCCAGTCCACATTTAGAATCCTCAGAAACATAGGAAGTGATTTATTATTCATTGGAAAAGATTATTTTTAAAATGATTTTTATAAGAATATCCAAAGAATGAGAGAGCACATGGAAATAAATGCTATATAATCAAAAATTCAATGGAAGGATTAAAACAAATAAATCCCAAGAAAGCAGGGAAATTTTTTAAAATAGAAAATATAAGGAAATCAGCAGATAAATTCACAGTAGTACCAACATTCTTTGCTACGATTTGAATATGAGGTGTACCCAAAAGCTCCTATAATAAATGAAGGAATATTCAGAGGCACAATGACTAGATTATGACAGCTATAATCTAATTAGTCCATCATATCTGAATATACTGACTGGGTGGTAACTGTGGGCAGGAGGGGTGTGGTTGGAAGAGGTACGTCACTGGAGGCATGCCTGAGAAAGTTTCATCTTCTCTGTGACCCCTTCCCTTTTTTCTCTCTCTGCTTCGTCACTAAGAGCAGCACTTTACCTGGGCCATGGACTGAAGCTTTAAAATCATGAACCAAAATATACTTTTATCCTCTAAATTGTTTTTGTTGGTACTTTGTTCATAGCAACAAAAATTTAACCCATTCATCTAATAATTTTTTTAGAAAGAGATTAAAAGAAAAAATAAATAAACAATAAAAGAATATTTGCTAAAACTTAAAGAAATTAATTTCAAACTTGAGAAGAACTCATTGAATACCCTGAAAAAGTTCTACAACAGGGATAAGGAGGAAGTCCTAGGAGGTTCCACCAAAAAAAAAAAAAAAAAAAAAAGCAGATAGCAAAGAATGAATTGGGAATCAGAATAGTCTAGGGTTTTCAATAGCAATGTAGGAACCTAAAGAACAACAAAACAAGGTCTTCAAATGTCTAGTAAAAAATGTTTTCTAAACTGGAATCATATATTAAGCCAGATTATTGAACAAATAATAAGCATTAATAAAGACATACACATAATAATATGTGTAAGAGCCCTACTAGAAAATACTCTTCTACAAAACCGTGAAATAAACCAAGAAGTAAAATGAGAAGTAATCCAGAGAACAGGTATTCAACATAAAACAAGAAGATAAAATTCTCATGAAGGTGGTTTAGATAGTTAGAGATTAATCAATCCATATACAATTAGGACAAGGGAGAACTTGCAATGACAATCTCAGGAGAAAATCTGATAGATTACCTGATTCTCATTTATTTCAGAGGATTTTTATAGTTTTGTCAAATAGTTATAGGCCACCATTCATGATTAAAATCATACAACTCATGTTAATTCTGAACAAATGAAAAGAGGAGGCAACTGCAACTAGGAAAGGATAGAAGTTGAATCACAGAACACTCTGCTTCTTCACTATGAACAATACTTACATCATCAAAAGTGTATAAATTTTGAATATTAAGTTAAGGCAAAAAAATAAAAGAAATGTATTTGGGAACAGAAATATAACACAGAAAATTCTCTCCAGGTGTGTTTCTTTTTATCCTGTAAATCACTAGTTGTATCTAAAGTCCAATTCCCTTCAACACTCCTTCATGGCTCTTCTCTTTCTTTGCCCCCATTGAAACTGCCCCACACAGAATTCACTCCAACATTTTCTATTCAGGGCAGGAGTTTGGTTTGTCATTTTTAGGGATGTATCCTAAGAAAGACTAGACATACCCCCAATATTTTTATATCTCCCCAGATTCTTCTTGCACTTGCCTACTCACGGGAGCCATTAGGGAACCCTCCTAGTTGCTGTTGCTATCTGCAGAATGGCCCAATAAGCCACCAGCATGTATTTGACAATTTGGGGGTTTCTTGTCCCTCTGCCTTACCTAAGCTTCCTCCCTTACATTTTCCTATACCACAGAGCTCTTAAAACTGYAGATGATTTGTCCGCTCCCACCTTTTGTGAGGTTCATGGAGATACTTTGTTGGAAATCTTATCCGCTGCTTTTGATTTTACTATATAATCTACTCTAATTATATGAAGGGTTTCAAAACCTATGCCACTGCCATATGCCCAGAATTCTCTCCTGTTTGACAATTTAAGCTATCTTCAAATATCACTTTAATAAAAATATAAAATTTAATTTTAATAAAAGATAAATACAGAGCATATCATATGGATGAATGAGTCCTCTTTCCATGATAATGATTTTAATTAGTAAAAAATAAAAACAAATATCCAAATCTCACTGTTAACAATTTACATTATGATATATACACTGATTTTTAAAACTGCATGAACTCAGTAGCAATAAGCACCCTCATTACCCAGATCTTGGTTTCTAAATATCATTCTGAGAGTTCTCTGGAGAAAGGCTGGTTCCAGGTCACAGACAGGAAAAATACAATATAAGCCAAAACCATCTTATAAGACCAGAAAATAAGGAAATAATCAAAASAAAAGTATGAAAACATTGCAAAATTACACTAGAGACAAGCTAAAAGAGCTCCCAATGGCTAAAGTAAGAACAATTAGCAGCAAAAGAAATAATGCATTAGTGGATTATGACTAGAATTTCCAGACAAAACAGATTATCAGATAAATTTTCAGGTACACAGTAAGTAAATTTTTTTAGTATAAGAATGCATTGTTGTAATACCTGGGATGCCAATTTCTATATATCATTTATACATTGATACATATTATAATACTATGATAACTACATAGTAAAATGCATAATTAGGAATTAATCATTCTCAACAACTCCTTTCATTTCTCCTACATAAGTTTTAACCTAAAACTTCTTCCAGGAGTTAATGATGAAACTTTGATACATGATTTTATATAAATATATATATATCACACATAAGGATTATGAAGGAAATGTCTAAGAAATAATCAGATAATCAATTCTCACAAATATTACATTAATAATATTGAATTCAGCCTTATTAATATAAAATATACCATAAGATTGTGCAAAGTCATACAGTTTAAATTAACTGAAGTGTCAATACTCTTCTAGCAGTTGACATTTCAAACTCAGTTTTTGCCTTCATAAAATTTACAGCTTAAAATTTGTGAAATGGCAGGTGTTTCTTGGCAAGATAACAGAAATAAAATTCTCTGAGCATTCCCTTACCTTCTAAACTCTTAAAACATCTAAGTCAAAAAATTATGTGTAGATTAAATCTGAAAATTATTTAATTTCAAATGATAGTGGGATTTTTTTACCATGTTAAATGCAGGCCATTCTTGAAAGTATGAGTTCCAGGAAAATTTTTACAGATATAGAGCAGCAATAACCTTGGAATTTTATCTTTTTCTATGGACTGAATATTTGTGTCTCTCCAAAATTCATGTTGAAAATCTTCAATCCCCAATGTAATAGTATTAGGAGATTAGGCCTTTGTAAGATAATGTGATCAGTTGGAGCCCTATGAATGGAATTTGTGCCCTTATAATAAGATAATAAGAGATATGAGGGAGAGGATCGATCCCCCCACACCCTGTGAGGAAACAGGGAAAAAAATGGCTATTTGCAAACCAAGCAGAATGTCCTCACTAGACACAAAATTTGGTAGAAACTTGATCTTGAATTTCACAGCTATAGAACTGTAAGAAAGAAATTTCTTTTGTTTAAGCCATTCAATCTATGATATTCTGTTATAGCAACCCAAATCAAGGCAACCTTCTTAGGTCAAAAGAAAAGAGTTGCCTTTAGAGTTATGAAGAGCATATTTCTTTGAAGACCAATTTTAATATATATCTCTTAGGTTCAAAAATATTTCCATTGAAAACAAACTGTAATACCACATGTGAACAACTTTTGACATTTGTTCTAAAATGATACTTTGTGAATTCGCTAATCAGAACTGTTCTTATTGCCACAGTCACAATAAAGTTTAAGAACCTCTCCAAGAATTTGAAACACAAAATATTTTTAATCAGAATTTCTCTATCTAAAAACAACTTTTAAAAAAGAATTTTTCCAAAAATAGAGTCATTTCATTCATTTGCTTTCTGGGTGCTTATGATTAAAGAGTCTGCATACAATTTTCTTCTCCTCTCTCTCCTTCCCAAACATTAAACCACCCTGGGAGAAAACCCATAAAAACACACTGATAAAAACACCTGCTGTCTTTCAGCACAGCGTGCTACTATTACAAGAGGGATAGTCTCCCTGTTTACCTTGTGATAAATGAGGAGACTGCACTTACCGAGCTGGGGCTGGAGTGTCGCCTAACTTTAGGTGATTCTTTGCCAGCAGAGGAGGTCTTAAAGTTAATGCAGGCATTGTTCTCAGAATGTACCCTCTTTACTTGATTAGTTGGTTTCTCAAATGGGTCAAAAGTGCTCTGTGTCCTCTGAACCCTGACTTTTTTATCCTCAGGAATTGTGTCCAGGTGTTTGATCACTGAATCCATCCCCTGACAGTTCCGTGTAGACATCTTTGTGACACATATCTGGAAAATAAAAGAAATTAAATTCAGAATTCTCCACTGAAATTTTAATATCACTAAACATGCTGCGCTATCATCTAGAAAGTGTGCCGATTTATACTCCAGGAAATATCCAAAAAGCCCAAATTCTAAAAGCCACAGTAAACCTTTCATCACAATACAAAATATTTCTCACAATCATTCTTTTTATGCTTACTTAGAGCTTCCATTTTTAAAAATTATCTCTAAATCAAGAAGTTATGATATAGACTACTAGCCCTACATGGTCCTTGAACTCTGCATTATGCTTTATCCAAGTGGATATTTCTGATTATTAAGAGGGTAGTAACTTGACTTAATTAAAAAAAAAAAAAAAAGGTTGGGTTGAATCAGACAGGCACTTTAACCAACTGACCATCATCTACAGGCTTAAAGGGGGGGAAGGCACTATTTTTTGCTTAAAAATATTATGTTTGAATATATATACATATATATATATGTATATATAAAATCTGTCCCCAACATGATTTCAGCTACAAACTAGAATAGAGCTAATGATTAGAGATGCTAAAGAATTGAGGATAATTGTGGGTTTTTCTTTTTAAGTCCAAAGCTAACAGATATATAGAAATAACACTATCAATGAAAAACACTTAACACCACTCATTTCAAGTTTGCTTTTATTATTCCACTAGATCTCTACTTCCTTCCCAATATCTTCATTCTCTTCATACTCAGCCTACTCTACTCTCATTTTAGTCTAACTTTTGCTTCCCTTTTTTCTTTGTTCTAACCCTTTAATTCTCCTTAACCCCTGGAGATTCTGATGTCTTTAAGAAAGAAATGTGCAGTCTCTAACTTGTCTGCAAACCTAAGAGTTATTGTTTATCTTAAATGTTCCCCAAAGGCTAGTGTGCTTGGTCTCTAGGCCATGGCATTACTAAGAGGCAGTGGAAGGAAGCCAGATAAGGGGGTGCAAGCTCTTGAAGGAGGCACTGGGACCTCCGTCCTTTCTCCAACAGGCTCCAGCTTCCCAATCACCATGAACCGAGTAGCTCTGCTCTTTTGTTTGCTGCCCAATACGCTGTTCTGTTCCATCACTGGCCCAAAGTTACAAAACCAAATGACCACGTCCTGAAGCTCTGTAACCATGAGCCAAAAATAAGTGTTTCCTGCTTTTAAGTTGTTTATTTTATGTATTTTGTCACATCAACAGCAAGATAACAGACTAGGTAACTTTATTATTCTCTTAATAGAAAAGATTACTGTAAATGAAATTGCTCTTAGAATCTTTTTCTTAATGTGAAAAGTTTCCATATCCTTATATGCTATCAAATGAAGAAAGCCAGAAGAAATTTAAGAAAAGCCCACATCATTCATGTAAAAATTACAAGTTTCTCAGAATAAAGTGTAATGGTTGATTTCTTATGAGGAATAAATTTGTCTATGTATATGGATGTGTACAGACACAGAGACACATAAACAGTCAGAGACATTAATATTTTGGGGTACATCAGCATGTAAGCATAGAAAGAAACACACTAAGCTTAACTGCATATACCTCCATACATATGGAATTGCATGATAAAGGATAAGATCAGTAATTTTCATACACTCCTACATTGTCTGAATTACATAATAAGTGTGCCAAATTATGTAATTTTTTAAACCAGTAAAGCAGAAAAGTATGTACAATCAAACTAACTTCTTTTATGTTTTGATATTATTTTTTAAAATTAAATACTAAATATCAATTCTTGTGACAGGATTGTGTCTCCACTACTAAGCACAGGTTAAATTATAAGTAAAGTGTGAAGAATAATATCATGCATTTCAGTATACCACAAAACTGCTAAAGTTGTTTTGTTAAAGACTGAAGGTAGAATCTCCTACTCATGATCAAACCCTAGTAATTTATCACAAGTGCATTAAAAGCACTCAATATTTTTAAGGGCTTATATTCTTTTTAAAGTAGTGAAGAAAAGATTGTCACATTACTGAAGCACTCAATTACACCTGGGCCCAAAAGATCAAAAGTCAATAAACTTAAACATAATAAATACAAAGAAAAATATGTAAAGGCACATCAAAATCAACTTTGTAGTAACGATGCATATACAAAAGAAGAAAGTCCTCAAAATGATGATCTTGACTTCTGCCTTAAGATACTGGGGAAAGAAGAACAAATGAAACCTAAAATAAGTGGAACATTAAAACAAATAAATAAATATTAGAGTGAAAATAAATAGAAAACAGAAAACCAATATACTCAAAAGCTGAAGATAAAAATTTGATAACTCTCTAGCCAAACTGATAAAACAAAAAAGTAGAAAATATATATTGCCAATATTAGAAATGGGAGAGATATAAACACTAAAAATTCTACAGATACTGTACTATGAACAATGTTATACCAATAAATTCAGCAACACAGACAAAATTAAACAAATGTCCTGAAAGACAAAAGCTACCAGTATTCCCTCAAAAAGAAATAGATAAATTGAATAGACCATATCTATTAAAGATATTATATTTTGAGCCAAAACCATAAACAATTTYCAGGACTCAATGGCACCACTGATAAAGTAATATTTAAGGAAAAAAAATAAAACTAATTCTTTCAAAATTTCTCCAAAATATTGAAGAGGAAGGACTACTTCCCAATTCATTATTTGATGTCAGCATCATACCAATACAAAAATCAGACAAAAAATATTATAAGGAAACTGCAGGCTCAATCTCTCTGATGAACATGTAGACACAAAATTTTACTGGTCCACTTTTAACAAAGTGAATCCAATAATACATCTAAATGATATTAAATCATGACAATCTAGTATTAATTTCAAGGATGCAAGGTCGACTTAAGATTAAAAATGCATAATGTTGCATCTCTGAAATGGTACTCAATGGCACTCGTTTTCTAGGTATCCTTCTTATTATTTAATTCTCAACTCTTAACTATAGACTGCATTTATTGACTTGTATCCAATAGAGTATGGCAGAAATCATGAGATACTACTTCAGAGAAAATATTATATAAAATACAATAGATTCTGCATTGTTTTTCTACCTCCTTTTCCCTCATTCTCATTTCCTCTCCCTTATATCACTATTTCTGGCGGGGGKGGGGGGGGGAGTGGAACAGCCTATCTTGAAGCAGCCCTGTGGAGAGGCAGATACAGAAGGACTGAGGCCTTAAAACAACCAAATAAGTAGAGCCTTCAAGTGCAAATGCAATTTCAGTTTTTGTTTAACTGGAACGTCACCTATAACACAGAGAGATGGAAGCACACAGATAAGGAACACCTGGATTCAAAACCCACAAAAACTGTGAGATTAAAAAAAAATGTTGGTTGCTTTGAAATTTTAAATTATGGGATAATTTCTTATGTAACAAAAATTTTTTAAATCATATGATCATCTCGATATCTTAGAGTAAAGAAAACATTTGACAAATTGAACACCCATTCATGACACTCTGAATGAGACTTCCTCAACCTGATAAAGGGCATCTAAAATTTTCTAACTAACATCATATATAATGATGGGAGACTGACCACTTTTCACCCCAAAACAGAAGCAACTCAAGTATGTCCACTCACAACACTTTGATTCAACATTGCATTATAAGTTCTAGATGATAAGACAAGAAAAATAAATAAAAGCTATTCACATTGAAAAGAAAGAAAGAAAACTGAATGTTCAAAGAACATATGTATGCAAAAAATCTAATGAAATCTATAAATGCAAAAGCCACTTAGGAAAATGAGTGATTTTTATCAAGGGTGAAAAAGATAAAATCAATATATAAAAATATATAAATATATAAAATCACTCATATTTCTAGAAATTAGGAAAAAAATCAGAATTTCCAATACCAGTTACAATAGCATCAAACACTATAAAATAAACTTAACAAACAAACAAAAAAAGAACCCTGTACAAACCTGTAACAGAAACTATAAAATATGTCAGAGGAAAGTAAAAGCTAAGGTGAGCGTATAGGAGAGTCAGGGAGGCAGGACACAAATAAAGAAGACTAATTCAGGGGTCTTGACATTTATTGTAACATTTTCAAGAGAAATCTAATCTCTGTGCTTCAACCATAAAATATTAGTACTTATTGCTTTTATTTATTACATAAAATATTAGTAGCCTATTTATATATATATATGTACAAATCATATAAATAATAATATGAAAAAGATATTAGTGGGATTTGAAATAGAAAAAGTGATATGTTTGAATTCCATTGCTATCCCCAAAATTTAGCACCAGGAAGCACAGATGCCACCATCTCTTAGTTCTGCCAAGGAGAATATGGAGCTTTCTAACCTTATATGCTATTTTTTATTCAAGGTCTTTGAAGCATATTAGTAATTTATACTTTTTCAGATAAAAACTGTATTTTCCTCACTTAAAATATATAGGTAAAGTTTAACTTTGTAGCATATGTACACCAGTGCAGCCACAGAACAAAAACATTAGCACAGGAAAAATGACAAATGTCACTTCCACTGGACTGCAGAGGAAGGGAGGGTAATCGGGGCCCCCTTAAAGCTAAAGGAATGAACTTTATTCTTAACCAGTTCATGAAATCATATAAATCTCTCATTTGCTGCCCTTCATGCTACCAACTCTAGCAAACCTAAGCTGCTAAGAGCCACAGCCAAGTAATATGATGCATGGCATTTTTGGTTGAAAGGTGAAGCCAGCTAGCCATTGAGATGATATGATTATGTTAAGATTTACATTCATATGGATATTGGACTCCTGCTGTCCACCCCGCCTGCTAGGGACTCCTGGAGAGTTCCCATTGGTTGGGGAAGTGCGGTAGGAGGGATTTCCGGAGGAGGAAATTCCTCTTAGGATCCGAGTGCATCAATAGGCATTCTTCCTGGGGGCGTACAGGGCATTGGTGGCAGTTTCAAAAAATAAAGTTTGTTCCTGCTTGAGTGGCTCCTGATTTTGTGCCTAGCCAGACTGCAGCACTAAGCCTCCCAAGGTTATCTGCTGTCTTT